GAACTCATATGAATTGTTTTAATGTAAACAAAATTGCATGTGGTTATATAAGTATGGATAAATGGACCCGGTGTGGTCAATGTTTACTTATAAATAGACCCGGTGTAGTCAATATTTATTCATAAATGGACCCGGTATAGTCAATGTAATATAATTGCATAGGTTATGCTTTAGGTAGAGCTCCTCATACAAAAGAGACTCTGCCCGAATTTTGTTAAATTAAAGACCCCCGATTTTTAGGGCGTCACAACCACAGGGGGTGTAGAAATAATATTTCAAATGTAAAGGGGTCTAACTGATTAAATGACAAACCTGAGACACAATAGATTTCTTATAGGGTGTTTGCTCATTTATTATTGATGCGTTATTCAAATAATGTAATAACTAATTATTTATGTTGTAATAGTGATTTATTGATATTTATAAAAAGAATCTCATTGTAACATTTTTAATTTAAGTCATATTAGGAAAGTTTAAGTCTAATTTTTCTTTTTTATGAAAGAATTTCACTTATCTAAAATATAAACTAGCAATAATACTATATGTATTTAATTTAGAAACTTAATTTGAAAATCTAATTCGTTGTTGTCATTGGATTAGCACGTATTGGATCACATTAAATATTGAGATCCACCAATAATTGAATGATAACAATGATTTAACTTCCCCAATTAGATCCCATTAATATTACTTTGATAAACTTAAACTTTGATAAACTTAAGTTTTTTATAAAATTTTTAGTGGGGACAAATTTTAATTTTTAAAAAAAAAATCTAAAATTTCAAATAATATCCAAAACTTTTCAAAATTCCAGTGGGGAAAGTTGCCCATGCTGAATCCGCCCTTGTTCATAAGACAACCGCATGTGAGAATATGTATTTTGCATAGGGTCAAAAATTATTTATTTGGAGTTCTACAAAGCAAAAGACAATTGCAATCTCCTTCGCAAAAACGAGTTGAGTTATAACAATGGAAACTCATCTGTGTATGGAGCAAAAGATTTATCTTTGTTCACTAGTTAAATCACACAAGAATTTTATATGAACTTTACTAAATCTCGAAAAATTATTGATGCGACGCTAAGTGAACATAAACATACCTCAAAAATAACTTAATAAAATGACAGTACACCTTTTAACATGGAAGATGCAGATAACTCATTCATTGGTTTGTTAAATTAGAAGGGTATGTTACGGTCACAAGAAACTAACAGCCAAAATAGTATACAACGCTGTAACTCTGTTGGATATTTGTTCCATCGACGACAATCATGTAAATGGAGATGCAAACTATTATAACTGTAACACATGATGTACGGAATTACCTACCATGTGTCAATGATGTCGTAATTGAATTAATGGAGAAATAATTGTATTCACTGGGCAAATAATTTCCTTCTTGATCTCTACTGTGTTGGTATCCAAGCCTTCTTGCTGGTGGTACTGTCTCTGAATTATTTGAGAGCATTGCCAATGTAGAAGACATTGTTGGCCGGTCTTGGATATGTTTTTGGCAGCACAATAACCCAATCCGCAAGCATCTTAAAACAATATCTTGAGGGGAAAATCCCATGGTCTTATCTATTACCTCCAATAGCCTCCCTTCTTGCTCTAGTCTCCATGTCTTCAACAAGTATAACATCTTATCAGTGATGTGAATGCAAACACATATTTAAGAATTATTTATGTACAATGATGGATCACAATTACATTTACAAGATAGAACCATTAAAATGAAGTATGAAAGAAACAATATCATAATGAAGAGGAAAAATATCTAAGAGACAAGCATAATAACAAAGAGGAGCATAATCCAATTCCAAATAGAGGAACAAAGAGAGATCAATCTGCCTAGGCCTCCTATTGCATGGTTCAATAACTTTCAAATGTTAAGCAAACAAGTATGGGAATATTCCTTCATGAAGATCAAGTGTATGCATATGGAGAAAGATATTGATTCATTACTTACAAGATTCAGGAGCTCTTGTTGTTCATCATCAAATTGCGGCTCGTAATTTTTTCTTCCGCTTATTATTTCCAACATCAACACCCCAAAACTAAAGACATCGTTCTTGGCTGACAAAAAACCTTTTTGTGCATATTCAGGGGCCATATAGCCACTGCAAAAAGATCACCTTTCACTAAAACAAGATAACAATAATTTGTGCTACTTTTTTATATCTACAACTAATATAAATCTCAGATGAGGTATCCAGAAATTGTAAAATCTTAGATATACTCACAACGTTCCTGCAATGTGGCGAGTGTGGATATGGCTTTGTTCATCTTTAAATAATTTTGCCAAACCAAAATCTGATATTTTTGGGTTCATCTGTTCGTCAAGTAGAATGTTGCTTGCTTTGATATCTCTATGTACGATTTTAATCAAAGAATCAACATGAAGGTACAAAAGGCCTCGTGCGACACCCAATATAATGTTGTAACGCTTTGGCCAATCAAGCAGTATACTCTTATTCTTATCTGCATGCGAGCAACGTACAAAGTCGAAAAGAGAAACCGATTAAAAGTGGAGATGGAAGCTGAACTCTTTTGTTCTCAATTTAAAGGGATATGGCGGTCGGGTCTTCGTCACTTACAAACAAATCGGGTGACTTATTTAGGTGACTTAAGCAGTGTGTGATAAAACTGAAAAAATTGAAAGTTGAAAGTTGAATGCTGAATTTGTGGACTGTTTGATATTCACTGAAATTTAAGTACTGAACTGAACTAAACAGTTTGATAACTACACAGAGCTAACGTCTGAAAATAAATTAATTTTCAGTTTTATCCTTCCACTCTTTAATTTAAAAATATTTATAAAATATGTCATAACATAAATCATAATCACTATTATCATATTGTAGTTTACAAATCTTTTATCAAAATAAATAAATAAATAATTTTTAAATAACACAATAAGTGAACAATAACAAATTGAATAATATAATAAGCGAACAATGACATATGATAAAAAAAGAACAATAACTAGTAAATAATCAAATAATATTAAAAAAATACAATAAATTAAATTTCATTAATAATATGTGTGTGCGTCGTGTATGTGTGTGTGCAGTGCATATGTTTGTGTGTAATTGTGTGTGTGCAGTGCGTGTGTTTGTGTGTAATTGTGTGTGTGTGTGTGCAGTGCATATGTTTGTGTGTGTGCAGTGCATGTGTTTGTATATGTAATTATAATTATATATGTATATTTTTGTGACAAAAGACAAGAAAAAAAAAAAGATCGGTAAGGAGAATATATAGGTTAGAGGTTTTGAAGAGAAGACTAATTAGAGTTTTAATAGGATTGTAAAATATTTCGGGGTATAATTGTCATATTATAAATATTATTAAAGATGATTTTGCTGAGCGCTTTCAGCTTTCAGAATTAAGTAAGAGATTTCCTACTTAATATTGTAACCTATTTTTAAGGAACACTTAACATATTAAGAGAGTTTAAATTTTAGTTATCAAACGAGCTTAATTAATAAATGTTAAATACATTCATTTTAAGTGCTGAATTTGGGTTAACAAACACACTCATAGTGGCACTTAGAATCCAGACAAAATCCGCCCAAATTGTATGCGTTCGCCCTTGGTCTATGCAAATCAAGGGCCCAGCTAACACAGCGTAGGGAATTTTACAGAATTTTCTATATTCAACAACATTATGATCCAATTAGGTCAATTACGTTTCAAGCAATCCAAATTATGACTCAATGGGTTTGAGCTAGGATCGATCCGAAAAGTTTATAATGATCTTGAGACTTTTATTATAGATTTAATATTTGAAAAGTGATCGATAATATATTTAGGTCATTGAGTCGTAACTTAATGTTATAGGGTTATAATTAATGTAAAAAATTTCTGAATACAATAATGCCAAGTCAATTTTTAAATTTGTGACATATTACCAAAGATGATGGAGTCAAGGCTCTTGTTTTGCAGGTATTCATAGACCAATATCCTTTCTTCTCCATGAACGCAATATCCTAACAACCGGACAAGACTCCTGTGTTGTATATTCATTAATACTTTAACTTCATTGAAGAACTCTTCGATTCCGTGAATAGAACCGCTTGCAAGCTTCTTCACTGCTATTTCTTCACCATTAGGCATTGTTCCCTGGGTATGAGCTTTCGTAAGTCATCAATTGGTGCAACAAAAAAGCTATTTTCCTATTCACACTTGTAAGTAATTTGTGTTTTTTTCCATTTTCACATTCAAAAGCTTCCTATAGAATTAGGTCCTCCTTATTTGTAGAATTTTCCAATTATATTGGATGTGATAGGATTTTCAATCTCGTCCTTTTTGTATCGTGTCACTTTCAGTACGTGTCATATTAATGTCAATATTTGTGTTAATAAAAAATTATTTAAATTTGTATTTTAAAAAATTATAAAATATTTATTTTTTTCTACAGTACTAGTTAAACACCTATTATTCCTGTTAATAAAAAATTATTTAACCTGCAACAACACATATAATATTATTTTAAAAAAATATAAATATTTACTTTTTTCTATAGTACTCGTTAAATACTTATTTTTTATCTACAATACTCATTAATCATGTTATTCGTATCTAACATTAATTTAAATTATTTATTAATCGTGTCATTTTCGAGTTTGGTGTCGTATCAGATTTGTGTTAATAGGTAAACTTGTCACTCCTAGATGTAGACCTACCCATGCCATAATACCGAGAGGAATGGAGCAAACATTAACAAAAACAATACGAGGAAAACCTATTTTAAAAGTAAAAAAAAAAATAAATAAATAAATATATATATATATATATATATATATATATATATATATATATATATATTTTTTAAGGTTACCAAATGATTCTATGTTGATATCCAATTGAAGCTTCAAATCCTATTGTGAACATAAATTGCAAAAATAAAATGTATATTTGGGTTTAACCCAAATTGAAATTTTGTCCTTCGTCATTTCCGGGGAATCAAAATTTGATGTTTTCAATCATCAACATAATAAATTAAATTGTGTCAGGCAAAAAAAAGATCAAAATTACCTTGTAAACGATACCAAATCCTCCCCTACCCAGCCGATTAGATGTAGAAAAATTATCGGTTGCAACAACCAGCTGATGTAAATCATACATAAACTTTCTCATCCCTACTCCTCCTCTCTTCATCAACTCCTCAGCTTCTTCAATTTCATTGCCACGGCTTTTGGGGTCCATTCTCATCCCTCTCTTCCTTGCCTTCATAACAAGAATCCCAACCGCCAGAATAACTGTCGTAACCACCCCAACGGAAACTTTGATCTTCAATCCCTTGCCTCTACCACCTCGAGTACTATTAACTGTTAGGGTTGCAGGTGGTGGCGCCATTAACATAAAACTGCTGACAAACGGGGCATTAGGCCAGTCCTGGTGCACTGGATCCACATTGAATTGGACATTACAGCTGGGAGTCAAGATCCAACAAAACCATTTTGACAAACAACTTAACTTTATCGCGTCTATTGCGGTCAGAACACATTTTGTGCAACCTGTGTTGTCAAGATCACGAGTGCAATCAACATAGCCATAAAGCATCAAGTTGTGTGTTATATTGGTTCTCCCCACTGAATATTTCTTCTCTGCTACAGCAGCTTGTGATGATAGAGTTTGGACTAATAATAGGGCACTTTCTTTAAAAGAATCTGGATCAGGACCGAGGCGCCAGTCACCGAAATTGACGATGACCGAATCATCTACCTTGTTTAGGAATTTCTTGCCAGAATACCTGATAGTGCAGTTGTCAAACCAAACTTGGGCTGCTGTTTGATTTGGACATGCAGCTTGAATACCCGACAAGGCATCGGTGATACAGTTTTGGCAGCCTGATGGGGCTAAGCCACCGCGACAAAGAGCGAGCGCAGTCACTGATTCTCCAGTTAAGTTGCCTGTGGTGGTGGCATTATAACCGGTTAAGGCGGTGTACTTACTGAGATTGTCGAGTGCTTGGAAGAGGTTGGTGGAGAAGATCGAATTCGTTGTGTAGTTATTGGTAGAACCGCAATTCTGAAAGCGAAGGTCACTGGTAGAGAATGCTATGTGGGGATAAAAGAAGAGAGAAGAAATGAAAGCATGAAGTAGCATTGTGGTGCAATAGTTTAGAGCAAGAAGGTGATAGAGATGCTGTTATAAGCACCTGAAAGAAGGAAAATGTCAAGTTTGATGACTTCGATTACCTTGTGTGATCACCTGATTCTTAGTTTTATTAATCAATTCGTCTACCTTTATGGTCACTTTAATTTGCAGTTTTATAAATAATTAAAGTATTCCAACCACGCTCAATAAAATAACTACTCAAAATATTTTTAAATATTGTATTCTCTACTGTGGCTATCCACTTTTTAAAATTCACTACAATCACGCTCTTTATTTTAACTAACTATAACTAACTTTCAATAATAAAATTCAAAAAATAACAATTCAATTATACATTGTATAAATTTAATCAATTATGGGCTACAAGAATAAATATCATTAAAGATATGCTACAAGAGTAAATATCATAAAATACTTGGGGGTTTTGCTGAATTTTTAAATTTTTTTAGGGGATTTTGCTGATTTTTTGGAGAAATTTTACTGGATTTTGAGGGGGAAATTTGCTAGATTTTTATCAATTCATCGTCTTCCCCCATTCTGATCAACAATACAAAAATTACAAATTAATCCAATCAGGCAAGACCCATCAAGTAAACCACGAAACCCAACAAATCAAAAATCACAATTCTTAATGGGAGTCTGTTGAACTGAGAAGATCCATTTCTTTTTGAGAAATCAAGTTGTTCACAGAGGAATCTGGAGGTTTGGATGTTGCGTGAGGGGTTTTAGGGGAATCTGGAGGTAGAGATGGGAAGAGGAAGAGTAAAGTAAGAGACAGGAAGAAGAGGAGGAAAGAAAGTGAGGTTGAGAAAAAGGGACGCTCCACCAACGAAGAGAGTCTGAGAGTGCAGGGAGACTCTGAGAAAGACGAGTGAGAGCTCTGATGAATACGAGAATCCCAAAATTGGAGCAAAACTTTGATGAAGACGACCCAAAATTGGGAGGAGAGAGCTCTGATAAGAGAGAGAGTCTTGCTAGCCAGAATTGATGAGTGAAAATAGGGGGAGGCAGATTAGCAACTGAAATAGAGAGTCGGTTGGAGACAAATTTTTTGAATTGGTTCAACAAAATAGCTAAAAGATGCCCTTTGTTGAGTTGGTTAGAGTTGCTCTTAGAAGTCTTTTACTTTACCTTTTTTTGGGTAAAAATAAGAATTTAGGGTTAATTGTGTGGGAGGTCCTCAAAGAATGATATTTGTCTTATTTTTGTCCTTAATATTTCAATTACATCATTTTAGTCCCTGAAGTATTGAATATGTTTCTATATAAATATGGTCATTCAAGTAGATAGCATTCAGATTTCTAATAATTTTGTATCATAAACTTATCATGTGATATTTAAATATGGATAAAAAAATAATATAGAGTACTTTTGACCAAATTTCTACTCAAATTTTGATTAAATAACTATCCAAATTATATAATTTTGTTTATGAATTATTATAATTTTAGTCAAAAGTTACTTATACGACGAACACAATAAAAAAATAAATATATATAGTTGAAAGAACAAATGACTGATCGAAAGACTTTATGTAGGGACGGCCATTTGGATGCAAATCAATAGCCTAATGACTGATCGAAACACTTTATGCAGGTGACGGCCATTTGGATGCAAATCAATAGCCTAGCCTGGTCGTTGGAACGTCCGCAGTGGATTGCGTGTTTTAACATTGTATGAGCAGTGACTTTGAGCTAGTCTTTTCTTGAAGACTAATGATCGATCGGTTTGGTAAAACAGAAAAATAAAAAATGTGAGGGGTATAAAATATTAAATTCGGTTAGCAAGGAAAAGTTGAGAGTGGGGATGGCAATGAATGAAAAAAAAAAAATATTCGTTCAAATCCGTTCGTTTGAACTGGAAATGGACCATACGTATTAGATGATAAACGTATATATAAATATTCGTATAAACTTGCACGGAAATGAAGGTGGGGATGGACTGACACTTATTCCAGCCACGTCCCGCCCTCCTCGGTCCCCTATTTGAATAAGAGCAATGTTATATGTACTTAAAAAGTAGACTTAAAAATTAGACTTGATAATCTCAACCATTGATTTTACTGTGGGTCTCAGCATTTATTAGAACTCACTACCTATTCAATAGTTGAGATTATCAAATATAATTTTTAAATTCATTTAACATTACTCTTTGGATAATGATCCGTAAAATCAATTTTTAATTTATTATTTTTTATCTAAAAAAAAATTATCACCACAAATCCTTTCTCTCCAGTTAGACATCACGTCTTCTAGAGCCTTCTATCCCCTTCTCTCTCCTATCTCCATCATCTTCTCACACAGCAGTTCTCTCTCTCCTCTCTCCTCTCTCCATTAGCAGCTTTCTCTCTCTTTCTCCATTATCTTTTTACACAGTACAAACATACACAAACTTTGTATAATGAAGTATTGAATATGTTTCTATATGGATATGGTCATTCAAGTAGACAGCGTTCAAATTTCTAATAACTTTGTAGCATAAACTTGTCATGTGATATTTAAATATGGACAAAAAAATAATATGGATAACTCTTAACCAAATTTTTACTCAAATTTTGGTTAAATAACTACCCAAATTACATAATTTTGTTTTTGAATTATCATAATTTTAGTCAAAAGTTACTTATATGACGAAGAGAATAAATAAATAAATAAAAATATATATATATATAATAAAACAGAAGTATATTTAAATTTTATTTCAGTCATATTTTTCTTCTCAAAATCATCACCAATCACTTACCTCACTCATCATCCCTTTGTCAGACTCAAACGTCAAATCGCATTACTTATTTTTATCATATGTTTAATATTTATATATTTATTCCCTAAAAATATCGCATCACTCAGTTTTATCATATATTTAATCATTTAATATTTGATTAATTTGTAGTTAATATATTTTAAAAAAATTTAATATAATGAGATCGATTTTTTGGACGTTCAAATTTTATATTTTATCGTGACTTCATGCACGGATTATGATTAATATATATATATATATAGTTGAAAGAACAAATGACTGATCGAAAGATTTGATGTAGGTGACGGCCATTTGGATGCAAATCAATAGCCTAATGACAGATCGAAACACTTTATGCAGGTGACGGCCATTTGGATGCAAATCAATAGCCTAGCCTGGTCGTTGGAACGTCTGCGGTGGATTGCGTGTTTTAACATTGTATGAGCAGTGACTTTGAGCTAGTCTTTTCTTGAAGACTAATGATCGATCGGTTTGGTAAAATAGAAAAATAAAAAATGTGAGGGGGATAAAATATTAAATTCGGTTAGCAAGGAAAAGTTGAGAGTAAGGATGACAATAAATCGAAAAAAAATAGATATTTATCTAAATTCGTTCGTTTGGATTGAAAATGAATCATACGTATTAGACGATAAACGTATATAGGGATACTCGTATAAACCCGCACGAAAATGAAAGCGGGGATGGACTGACACTTACTCCCGCCCCGTCCCGCCCTCCCCGCCCCCCTATTTGGATAATGATTCGTAAAATTAATTTTTAATTTATCATTTTTTATCTAAAAAAAAAAATTATCACCACAAATCCTTTCTCTCCAGTCAGACATCATGTCTTCTGGAGCCTTCTCTCCCCTTCTCTCTCCTATCTCCATCATCTTCTCACAGAGCAGTTCTCTTTCTCCTCTCTCCATTAGCAGCTTTCTCTCTCTTTCTCCATTATCTTCTCACACAGTACAAACATACACACATACAGTCATCACACACACATACATCACACAATACACACACACACACACACACATATATATAGACACACACAGATCTGTGTATATATACAGATCTGAACACAGATCTATATAAATCTGTTGCACAGAGAGAGAGAGGAGATGACACTGGAATCGACGTTGAAGCCGACACCGAATCAAACTCATATCTGAACCCAGATGTGCGTGTTGTTTCTTTTCGTTTGGTTTTCACCGGAGTGTGGAGAGAGAAAGAGAGAGAGAAAGCCCCAAAAAAAAAACAAAGAAAGGCAATAGAAAAAACTTTCTTATAGTTAGATATATTTTGTAGCTAAGAAGGTTTGAAGGAGAGACCTCATTAATGAAGAATTGGGATGTTCTTATGTCTCCCTTCGTTTATCTGCAAAACACAAAAAACAAGCCTAGCTTGTTTTCTATTTTTTGTTTTTTACATCCATCTTTTCTCAAAATTTGGAAAACAAAAACCAAAATCAAACAAGTTTCTCTTGTTTTTTAGAAATTTGAGATCAAAAAAATGTTTTCAAAATTCAAACCAAACAGGTCTGTAGTTTCCTATATATTTTATTATATAGATATATAGATGGTATTGATGTTATAAACACTTGATAAAAGGCATAATTTTGCCTACCTTGTATGTTCACTTGGATTCTCACTTTTATAAACGTTTACATGGGTCTTACCTATGCACTTGCGAGAAAAATAGGAACTAATTAACCTTTAATGCTTATTATCTTCCTTATTTTATCCGGAAACTTACATCAATTTCCCCGAAGACAAAAAATATATATATAGAGTTGAAAGAACAAATGACTAATCGAAAGACTTTATGTAGGTGACGGCCGTTTGGATGTAAATCAATAGCCTAGCCTGGTCGTTGGAACATTGTATGAGCAGTGACTTTGAGCTAGTCTTTTCTTGAAGACTAATGATCGATCGGTTTGGTATAATAGAAAAATAAAAAATGCGAGGGGGATAGAATATTATATTCGGTTAGCAAGGAAAAGTTAAGAGTAGGGATGACAGTAGACCGAGGAGAAATGAATATTCGTTTAAACCAGCTCTGTTTGGACCCGGGATGGACCATACGTATTAGATAGTGGACGTATAAGGGATACCCGTATAAACCCGCACGGGAATGAAGGCGGGGATGGACTGACACTTATCCCCGCCCCGCCCCGCCCCGTCCTCACTAACCCGTATATATATATAGCTCATTCCCACCCACTTATAAAGTTAATTTCAAAATTCAGTGGCCCCCTTTTTTTTCTGTCCAATAAGGTAAGAT